GTTTTAGCAATTATGAATAGAATCAATTGTTGCTTTAAACATGTTTGCAGGCTTTTGAATGAAAACAACATTTTGGCTAATTGGGTAATGAAAAAAGTGAAAGTGTTAGTCACTCAGTTGCATTCAACTCTGTTACCCGTGGATTGTAGTCCACCAGACTCCTCTGTCCATGGGATTTCCCAGAAAAGAATACTGGAGTGGGTAGCCATACCCTTTCTCAGGGGATCCTTTCAACCCAGGGATCCAACCTGGGTCTCCCGCATTGCAGGCAGATTCTTTACCATCATAGCCACCAGGGAAAGCCCAGTGATATAGCATCACCTTTCTTTTTTGCTTTTTAAAAGTTGTAAAATATGCATAACATAAAATTGATTATCTCGACCATTTTAAAGTGCAGTTCTGTGCTGCTGAGTACATTCACATTCTTTTACATATAGTTCCCTGTTAAAGTAATGCTAGCCCAGGTGCCCAGAGATGGGGGAAAGCAAGTGGTTCCCCCCGCCACAGCACAGCGGGTGACAGGCATGCAGGATGGACTGACGTTTGGGAAACTTGCAACTAGAATGACAGTTTTGGTACCCACATTCTTTATGGAGAGTCCCATCTGCTGAAAGTTCCATCTTCATAGTCTTGTCTCTCAGGCCCAGAAGGTGAGTTTTTAAAACCTATTTGCAGCATGCCCACGTTGTCTTTTTGCCCAGGCCCCCTTGTGGGTTGCTCTGAAGAAAGGGGCCTTTGGAAATAGTCACTTTCCTCAGGTTCCTCCCACTTTTCTCTTCACCTCCCTGTGGGGCCACACACAAGCCTAGAGGAACATAGCTTCGGTGAGTGGGAAGCCCAAACGTGACAGATGGCAGAAGCGAGGGGTCCGAGAAGCTCTCCACAGGGTGGACCCTCGGGAGGGTGACGGGGCGGGGGCAGCGCTTGGCAGTGGGTCTAGCTGAGCAGGTGGTCCTCCTAGAGCCTTCCTGGTGCACCTGCTTGATGGCGATAGGATGGCTTCCCACCCCCTTGGTTCAGAGTGAGAATCATCAGCACAGCCCTTTGCGGTTTTCCTGGGAAAAGTGCCATCCCCCCCCCCCCCAACCTCCGGAAGGTGCTGGTGGGCTTGCTACCTCCCTGGCAGCGATCAGCTGCTACTAAAAGGCATCAGTTTTGCTGTGATCACGCAACAGGCTGCAGAGAGCAAAATAATCACCGTGGCAGGTGTGTCAGAAATGTAGCGCTCTTTTTCTGGAATTTCTATTTTGAAGCCCCGCTCCTCCCACCTCAAGGCAGTCAGTTCTGGACTTCTTTGCTCTCTCCCCTGATGATGGGCTTATTTCAGGAGACAGGTGGTGCTCAGCCCCCAGCTCCCCTCACAAGCTAGCCCCCCCCCGCTGAGTCACCCCTTCTCCTGCATTGCCCTGGGTCTGACCCACTTTCTGGGTCACTCCTGGCCCCCTCTTGGGTGCCCTGGGAGTCATCCTGGGCCGTAGCCTCTGGGCTGTAGGGTTCTGGGCATGGAACGGGGGCTTCTTCCATCCCTCCCACTGGACTCATGCCTGCAGCTATTGCTATTGTGGGTCTCATCACCTCCCTCTGGCTTTCCTCCTTCCCACTTCCTCCCAATCCAAGGATGGTCCTCATCAGAGACCCCTTAGGGTTTAGGCTTTGGAATTTACAAGTCTGTCCTCTGTTTCTGCCATAGTAACTCCATTGGAAGCCCTGGCCACTCACCCTTCTCTGCATTTACCACTTAGGAACAAATTGCAGGCAGCCTTGCTGGGCATGAGGTTTTCTGGGGCCACAGAGCCCATTGGGTGTGTCCCCTTGGCCAGCTGGACATGCCAGCCATTGCGCCTTCAGCCCTAGTGGGGTAACATGTTTATATGATCTCTTGTTCCCCAACCTGGTTAGGTGAGCTCGGGGTGCCTCCAGTGAGGACTTGCTTGATGATACACTCCATTTTTTGTTTAATATTTTTTATTGTGGTAAACATCACATAATATAAAACATATTATTTTACTCTTTTAACGTATTTCTCTTTATAGTTCTGTGGCACAAAGTACTTTCACATTGTCAGGCAACTCTCACCATCATCCAACTCCTGAATTTTTCACCTTCCCAAACTGAAACTCTGTCCCCATTAAAGACTAACCTCCCCTCCCCTCTTGTCACCTCTCCACCCTCCCCAGCCCGAGGCATCTATCAATGTACTTTCTAACTATGAATTTGACTATTCTAAGTACCCCGTATAAGTGGAATCAAACAGTATGTCTGCATCTAATGTATGGAATGCATTTTTAAGGTTAACTTAATCTATGGATGACACACACTCTTTTAAAGCTTCCGTCACTCTGCTTTCCCACTCCCCTGTCAGTGTTACCTGAAATCACCTCCTAAACTGAATCCTTATCATGCATGGCCTTCTTTCTTGGGAACTGCACCTAAGACGGCCTCCCTTCCCGGAGGCTTTGAAGGGAGTTGGCTGCGCTGACTGATGGGGAAGAGACAAGGGGTAGGAGGGAAGGTGGGGAGGGGAGGATTCGCTCATTAATAGTTCAAAATATTATGGCGTTATCACTGGAAACTCAGATGAACCAAGCACTTCCTCCCTGCCTGATGCCACCCTCGGTGTTTCCATTCACGTCATTCATCTGATCCTCCCAGGAGCTGTGCCTGAGTGACCTGGGAGCCAGGTGAGCAGAGACAGGAAGGCGGGTCTGATGGTTCTCCCGGGAAGCATCTGGAAATTTCTCAGCTAGTAGAAAGGACACAGCACCTTCAGGGAAGCCTCATCTTCCCTTCACAGTGGTGCTTATGAATTCTAGTAGCTCCTACCCATCCCTAGGGATTTCTGTCTTTAAATCTATCCTTAAAAAATTACAAGGTTTCAGATCTGTGAGATCTATAATGCAGACAGGTTTATGAGGAACAGAGAATGGGAGCAATGGTCTTGGGACAAAAAAGAGAAAAAGGATTGGTTGTAGCATTTGCCAGTTTCTGTGGTATAAATACTCCCACTAAAGCCAATCCCAAGCTATGAATGTGACATGTGGTCATTAAGTTGTGTCCAATTCTTGCCATCCCATGGACTGCAGCCCATCAGGCTCCTCTCTCCATAGGATTTCTTAGGCAAGAATACTGGAGTGGCTTGCCACTTCCTTCTCCAGAGGATCTTTCCCTGTCTGGTTGCCACCTTTTGGCTCTTTTGAATTGTGGCTATCAACATTTATGTCTATGTTTTTATTTGAATACCTATTTTTAATTTTTTTGGGTATATATGAAGAAGTGGAATTTCTGGGTCAGATAGTAGTTCTGTGTTTAACTTTTTGAAGAGTTGCCAAGCTGTTTTCCCCAGTGGTTGCATCATTTCACATTCTCACTAGGGTTCAAATTTCTCCACATCCTCAGCAACACATTATTTTCATTATTATTATAACAATGTGCTGGTTGACATGCAGTCATATCTCACTGTGGTTTTTGATTTACATTTTCTAATGACTAGTGATATTGAGCATCTTTACATGTGTTTTTGACCATTTGTATATTTCTTTAGAGAAATGTCTGTTGAAACCCTTTGCTCATTCTTTATCTGTCTGTCTTTTTGTTATTGAATTATAAGAGTTCTTTATATATTCTGGATTTAGCCTGCATATGATTTGCAAATATTTTCTCCCATTCTGTGAGTTGTCTTTCCACTGTCTTGATAGATAGTGTCCTTTGGTGTACAAAAGCTTTTAATTTTGAAAGATTTCAATTTATCCTTTTATTTTAATTGCTTGTACATTTTGTGTCATAACTAAGAGCCAATTGTCAAATCCAAGGTAATGAAGATTTATTCTGATGTTTTCTTCTAACAGTTTCATAGTTTTAGTTTTTACATTTAGGCTTTAGACGAATTTCAAGTCAATCTTTGTATATAGTGTGAAGTAGGTACTCAATTTCATTCTTTTGCATGTGAATATCCAGTTGTAGTAAACTTGCTTTTAACATGATTTATTGAATTGCAGGTTTATATAATTTAACTTTTAATTGTGGGCACATTTGGGCTTCCCTGGTGGCTCAGATGGTAAAGAATCTGCCTGCGATGCAGGAGACTCAGGTTCGATCCCTGGGTTGGGAAGACCCCCTGGAGAAGGGAATGGCTACCCACTCCAGTATTCTTGCCTGGAGAATTCTATGGACAGAGAAGCCTGGTGGGCTACAATCCATGGGATAGCAAAGAGTCAGACATGACTGAGCTTGCACTCACACACAAATAATGCATAATATTCTCATGTAAGCAAGATGAATGCAAGAATTGAGACATATATATACATATATGCTAAAGAATTATGAAATGTTTATCTGAAACTCAAACTTAGCTGGGAGTTTTGCATTTTCATTTGTTCAGTCTAGTAAGCATCCCTTCAGGTCAGGTTTCTTCCCTGTTGTCCTCATCCAACAGTAGAGACTGAGCACTCCAGAGTGGAAGATGCTGATTCTCTGCCCACTCTACAGATCTAAAAACCAAATCCCAAATGAGGAAAGGGACTTGCCCCAGTGCATGGGGTCACTGTGGACTTTGAGGACCTTGATGAGCTGCATGACTTTCCTTTGTCACAAAGTCAGCACATTTTCTGAGTGTCTCCTCTGCACAGCGCACTGTGCTGGGTAGGGGGATGTCCGTGACAAGCCTACGACGTATCTGCATGCAGGGCAAGAATCAAGAATTCTTTTTGGAAAATTAAATAAAAGACAGGATTCAGACAGACCTGGGTCTGAACCCTACTCTATCATATTTTAGCTGCACGACAAGTCACTTCCACTTGCTGAGCCTCAGTTTCCCCCTTTTTTCACATGAGCAATAAGCGTATTTTTGGGGAGGGATTGTTGTGGCTTCAGTAGAGGTGATAAAATGCCCAGTGGGGGCAGGGGACTGTGTACTGTACAATGAGAGAAGAGAGGTACCCACAGTAAAGTCCGGTTGTTGCTCACAGGTTTCCCAGCACCCCGGGCCACCCAGATGATGTGGGATGGATGCGCCAGAACTTGCCTGTCCTACCTCGCCTGCCAGGGACCAGCCGGCACCTGCTTCTGGCCCCCCAGGGGCCCCGGGTGGGCAGGCATCGCCTCACTTGACCCTGGGCCCCGTCATCCTGCCTCGGGAGCAGGGCCTAGCCCCCACCGTGTTCCTGAAGGCCCTGCCCATCCCGCTGTACCACACAGTGCCTCCGGGAGGGCTCCAGCCACGTGCTCCCCTCGTGACAGGCAGCCTGGACGGGGGCAGCCTGCCCTTCGTTCTCAGCCCCCTGCTGCAGCCTGAAGGGCTTGGTCCCACCCGAGCCGGGAAGCCGGTGGCCCCGGGGCTCACGGTGAACATAGTGAGCGCTCTGCCCATCCTGTCACCGGGCCTGGGGCCCACTCTGAGCAGCCCAGGCAAGGTGCGCAACGCTGGTAGGTACCTGTGCCCACACTGCGGCCGGGACTGCCTGAAGCCCAGCGTACTGGAGAAGCACATTCGCTCCCACACCGGGGAGCGGCCATTCCCCTGCGCCACCTGCGGCATCGCCTTTAAGACCCAGAGCAACTTATACAAGCACAGAAGGACCCAGACACACCTCAACAACTCCAGACTCTCCTCGGAGTCCGACGGTGGCGGGAGCAGCCTCCTGGAGGAAGGCGACAAGGCCGCTGAGCCCACTGGGGCCGACAGGGCACCATCACAGAGACCCCTTTCTCCCGGTACCCACGCCGCTGGGCACCGCCCGGTGCCCACCACGCATGTGTCCCTGGTTGCCAAGAACCTGGACCGGAAGTTGGACGCTGTTCCCTGCCGGGGGTCCACGTTTGATGTCAAGGAGGCCCCTGTAGACTCTGCTCCCGGGCTCCCGCTGGCCAGCCCGCAGTCGAGGTGGAAGTTGCCAGAGCCTTGGTCCCCGACGGCCAGTAGGCCGAGCTCAGTGCTGCAGCAGCAGCAGCAGCAGCAGGTGGAGAAGCCTGGGGACGCTAGACCCTCGGAGGGCCGGCTGCGGAAGTGTGAGAGCACCGACTCGGGCTACCTGTCCCGTTCGGACAGCGCTGAACAGCCGCCAGCCGCCGGCAGCCCCCTGCACAGCCTGTCGGAGCACAGCGCCGAGTCCGAGGGTGAGGGCGGCCCCGGGCCCGGGCGCGCGGAGCGGGCGGCCGGCCTGGAGCTGGAAAAGAGGCGGCTGGAGGAACGCATCGCCAGGCTCATCTCGCACAACCAGGCCGTGGTGGACGACCCCCAGTTGGCCCACGTGCGGCCCCGCAAAACGGTCCTGTCCAAGCAGGGCAGCATTGACCTGCCCATGCCTTATACTTACAAGGACTCCTTCCACTTCGACCTGCGGCCGCCGGGACCCGGGAGGCTGCCGGCTGCCCTGCGTGCCGCGCGCTCCACCTGCGCGCCCCCGGACAGGGCGCGCCCCCTCTTCTTCCACTCGGTCCCCACGCAGCTCTCCACCGGCACCGAATGCGTGCCAGTCACCAGGAGCAACTCGCTGCCCTTCGTCGAGGGCACCGGGACTTGGCCAGAGCCGCCGGAACCCCGGGATGCCTGGCCCCGGAGGCAGAAACCTCTGAGCCCCAGGCCCACCTCCGCGCGCCCGGCCGATGCCCCTGGCGGGCACCCTCGGGCCCTGGTCAGACAGGCGGCGGTCGAGGACCTGCCGTGCCCCCTGACCACGGATGCCCCGGCCCCCACGGAGGACCCAGAGGGAAAGAGACCAGCTGCTGAGGAGGGGTCTGCCAGCAAGGGCCAGGCAGCTGCTAAGAAACGCGGCCAGAGGAAGCTGAAGATGTTCTCACAGGAGAAGTGGCAAGTATACGGGAAGGACACGTTTAAGAGCATCTACCAGAGAGGGAAAGCCAGCCACCATGGAGGCAGGAAGGCTACCGAGGGGACAGTGGGCGGTGGGGCGGCGCTGGAGTGTCCTCCCCAGCAAGAGGCCGCGGGTGGTGGGGACACTGTTGTGGGGGACAATCCGGGGCCGTGGGCAAGTCCACCAGTCCTGGCAGGCCTCTTGGTGACTGAGCCCCACAAGCAGAAGGAGACTGTGGCCGGAACAGGAGGCCCTGACCAGCTGGGCTCTAACAGGGCCGCCTCACCCCCCGCCCTCAGCAGTGGAGAAGCCCTCTGCTTGGGCAGCAAGAGCCCTCTGCTTCCTCCGCACGAGGGCCCGGAGCTGGGGTGTCAGCAGCTCCCAGCACCTGGTCCCCCCAAAGGGGGTGACCTAGAGGCTCCCGGGCCAGACTCGAAGCTGGACGGTGGCACCTGCCGTGGTGAGGGCACCAGGGAGACCTGTCAGCAGGCCCATGTGACCCCAAGAGGGCCTGGCGGGAGCTCAGGAGAGCCCAAGCCCCCGGAGGACAAGCTCCCCTCAGAGAGGAAGAAGCTGAAGGTGGAGGAGCTAAGCTGCCAGGAGCTCCTGGGAGCAGGAGGAGAGACTCCCGGTGGCCCCATGCAGACTGCCTCACCACCACCTCAGAACCAGGACACTGACGCTGGGGAAAAGCCAGGGGGTCTGCCTGGAAGTGGCAACCGCACAGAAAGGGTCATGTCTGGGGCCCTGAAGTGGGAGGGTCCTCAAGACACGGAGCCTCCACCACGTCCCCCTGGGTGTTCCTCCCAGCTGGCCTCCCACCCTCCAGCTCCTCACACCCTCACTGGCCCGGTGGACATGGCCTTTCCTCCCCAGTACCTCCTCAGGTTTCCCCAGCGAGACACCCGTCCCCTGTCGCCTGTCCCCCAGAAGCCAGACCAAGGTCAGGACTCCATCTGCAAGAGAGGGGGGCCTGAGGTACAGACATCTTTTGCAGAGTCAGGGCAGGGGGCCCTCCTGCCTCCCTGTCCTATCTCAGGCCAGGTCCCAGCTGGAGAAGACAGCTGCTGGGAACACCCCAGCTGGTCCAGGCCGTGTGACCAGAAAAAGGGAGTACAGAGAGAGGATAGGGGCGGCTTGAAGGCTGGCATCCCAACAGCCAGGGCTCTCAAGGAGCCGGCCTCCTTCTTACCTGCCCCAATGTGTGACTCTTGGAGGAGTGGGGCCCATGACACCCAGGAAATCTGCAGGAGCAACACTGTGGCGAAGGCCGGGCCCTCTGGGGGTGTCCTCAATTCCTGGGAACACACTGGGGAGCTGGGGGCGCCTTCTGAGAGTGCCACTCAAGCCCCTCCTTTGGGGTCTCTAGCGGAGCTTCATCCCTGCTGCTCCCACCAGCATGGCTCCTCTCTCTCAGCCAGCATGGCCCCCCACTGGCCTGAGTTGGCCTTGTGCACCAGTGCAGAGCCTGCCAGGAGCCACGGGGTCCAGGGCCCTTTTCCATCGCTGAGGGCCGAGCCCCGGCTCACGTGGTGTTGCCTGAGCCGCAGCCTCCCCCTGCCAATGGAGCAGAAGGAGAAGGATGCTTCTGTGTACTTGGGCTTACATTTGCCTGGAGGTGGCCTCCAGGGTGAGGGTCTGGACGCCTGGCTGGTGAGCAAAACAGTGTCTGGAGCATGGACCAAGATACGCCCTGGAGATGGAGGGCAGATGCAGATGTCGAAGGTAATACCAGCTTTGCCCCAGGGCCCTGGGAGCTGAGGGAGGATGCTTGGCAGGCAGGACTAGTGATGATGGAGAGAAAGTGTGAGGCCGTCTGGTATAGTCTCCGCTGTCCTGTATGATGTCTTCTTAGCCCACTTCCAAGGGAGTGAATAGAGGCCCCAAGAGTAAAATAAAATGAAAGAAAATCATGGAAAAAAAGAAGTTTCAAAGGAAAGAATAATTGTACCTACGACTCTGGGTGAGATCTTTTTCATAACTGGACATAAACCTTGACTAGGAGCTTCCTGGTAGCAGAGGCAAAAAGTAAAAATGAAATGCTGCTCAGGGGAGCTCTCTGGGTAGTCAACAATTATAAATCAGAAACCCTTACTGAGAGACAGACAACAGGAAAAAACTCTTAAAAGGAGAGTGTTATCATTCCAGGGATTCCAGAAAAAATAGTTGCTATACTCAGATTTGACTGATTCCTGAGTTTCCTGGGAGCAGTGGCAGAAAGGTTAAGGAGCTGAGTGCTCTAGAGGGTTCTCCCTTGGTGATTAAATAGGCTTAGAATCCCACCATTAGAGGGGCCCCATATACCTGGATTGTATCATCAAGGATGCTGTCCCACCCTTGGATGTCTTGGGCCAGTGTGACTGAAGAGGGTCCTGTAGCCTCTTTTCTGATTTAATCATGTGGAACAACAGGTCCTGGGTCCCAGAGCTTTCAGGCTAGTACTGGTAGTACTGTCTTCATCCCAAGAGTGGTGAGTTAGGAAAGATTGTGCTGGGCCTGAGAGAGGGGGAATCTAGAAGCCAAGTTAGCCTCCTTCCTCCAAAAGGCAATCAGTTACTGGGCGTGGATTTTGCTGGAGGAGGGCAAGGAGACAGCCACGGTATCACCAAAGGTCTGGGCTTTCCTCTGTGGATCCAGCCCAGGCAGATTTCAGAAAATTCCACCCAGGAATGCACAGACCATTTAGCAAGGCAGCATTTTGATGCCTGATTTCCCCAGACAGACATCCTGTCTGCAGTGGGAGACCCCTCTGTGTTGTTCCCACCACAAAGGCTGTGAGCAACATGACTCCAGCATCACTGGTATTTTCAGCTCTCTGACCCAACAGCCCGAGGGATGCTGTCCCGGGACCGGATGTCTGAGCCAGAGTGGAAGAAACGACGGTCTCATAGAAGAGTGAAGATACCTCGTGGGAGCAGCAGGTGGAAACATCTGAGCACCCACTCTAAAAGGTAGGGCGTGTGGCCTCCTCTGTCACTTCCCCTTGTGACACTGTAACTGCAAACTGCAATTTCAATGAACCTGCAAAGAAAACTTCACCAGGGATTCAAAAGGCATCTCTGTGCTCCAGAGAGACAGGGAGAGAGAGACAGAGAGAGAGACACAGAGAGAGAGAGAGAAAGAGAGAGAGAGAGAGAGAGAGAGAGAGAGAGAAAGAGAGAGTCCTGTTTAGGAACTGGGGTCTAGAGTTTCATGGTTCTAGGACTCAAATATTTCCCCATCCTCCACTGGCTCTGTGTTTTTCATTGGTGCCCTTTTCAAGGCCAGGCATCCAGCAAATATTTGAAACAACTGAGTGGAAAACACATCCATCCAGTGTAAGTCCTGAAGAGAGAGCGTGTTAATTATTTACAGCTTTTATTGCTTTTTTAATTATGCAAGTGATGCGTGTCCTTTGCAGAAAAATTAGAAAATACACATGAACAAGTAGAAGACAATAAAGTATCTTAGTGATCTCACCATTCAGAGACAATCACATTTAGGTACGTGCCCTTCTAGACTTTTCTCTGTGATCTGCGTGCATACACAAACTCCCAACTGCCAATGAGGCAGGGGATAGGGGCAGATGGATTTTAACACTCCTCTTTTAGCATGGCATTCTGATTGTCTTGCCCCTTTGCTCAAAACCCTTCACATTGCCCACTGTGTGCAAGTTAAAAAGCAAATTCTTTAACCAGCACCACGACTTAGCTACTAAACAGCAACACTGCCTTGCACCCCCTGCAAAGCTCTTCTGTCCAGTTTTCCGACAGTTGTTCCCTTCCCCCTCAGTGTGACTTGTGGTCCCAGCCCTCATCCATTCTCCATTTGACACTCTGTACCCAGATCTCCGAGGCTCTCCTGCACCTCCATGCCATACCTCGCCCCCCAACGATGTCTCCTTCCAAGAATGCTTGGCCTTCTCCTATTGTAGGTGTTTGATCCAGACCTAGGTGCTCATCCAGAGGCCACGCAAATCCCTAATGCTTGCCTACAACTACTCAGAGTCTCCGTGGCTGGAGATGACAAACCCTCTTCTGAGGCTCCTGCCCCTGTTTCACATGTCTGCCAGGACCACGTTTCCAGAGCTGGCATCGCTGAGGGTTTACTGTGTGCTGGGCTCCCCGTTTTTCTCATGAGGACGCTGAGACCCACAGAGGGTTTGGGCAGCCTCCGCAGGGACCCAGATCTGAACCAACAAGCCTTCCTCCAGTGCTTGTGTGTGGAACGGCAGCTTGCCCCGGTGTTCCCGGCCCCTAACAGACTCGAGAGTCGCCTAGGGTTTTCTGGAGATTTTTTGTGATGCTGTGTCACATTCAGTGGGTCCGAGTGCTATCCAAGAGTCTGTATTTCTTTTTTTTTTTTTAATTTTTTATTTATTTATTTTTGCTAATTCTATTTTATCTTTTTTTTTAGTTCTACCAGTTTATTGCTACCAACCCATCTCCCTCCACCCTCGTGCACACATGCTCAGTCATGTAATCCCATGGACTTCAGCCCGCCAGACTCCTCTGTCCATGGATTTTTCCAGGCAAGAGTACTGGAGTGGGTTGCCATTTCCTTCTCCGCTAATTCTATTTAAAAAAAATTTTAAATTAATTTTTTCCTTTGTTTTTAATTGAAGGATAATTACTATGCTAATTCTATTTTTTAATTTTTTTCAAATTATGAAAATATAACACATTTACAGGAGACTTGGAAAATGCAGAACAAAGTTACATATAGTTCCATGATATAATTTTTTTAAGTAGATAAATTAAATTTTTAGTTGGAGTTTCAATATCAAACTCTCAAAAATTAATAGAACGAATATACAGAGAAGTTGAAAGATAGAGTAGACCTGAAAAGCACTGTGAACCAGTTCAACATAATAAGATCTATACAATTTTCACACAACGGTAGGATACAAATTCTATTCAAGTTCCCATAGACTGTAAACGAGGGGACACTGAAACATATCCAGGGACATAAGACCAGGTACAAAAATTTCATGGTCTAAAGGTATTGAAATCATATAGAGTCTGTTCTCATCACTGTGACATTATGTTAGAGATCAATATCAAAACATATTTGGGATAAGCTACCCACTCCAGAAATCTTGGGCTTCCCTAGTGGTTCAGCTGCAGGGAATCCGGCTGCAATGCGGGAGACCTGAGTTCGATCCCTGGTTTGGGAAGATCTCCTGGAGGAGGGAATGGCTATCCTCTATAGTATTCTGGCCTGGAGAAATCCATATACTGTATAGTCCATGGGGTCGCAAAGAGTCAGACACGACTGAGCGATTTCACTTCACTTTCACATGTTTTCAAGTGCAATATGACATTTATTGAGAGAAATCTTTGGAGAGTCTGTACTTCTAACATGCTCCTCAGTGATGCTGAGGATGCTGGTCCAGAGAGTGGGCTTGGAGAGCAATGCTACATCACCAGGAGCACAGGGACACTGGTGTGTGGCTTTGTTCCCACGTAGCAAACTACAAACTACATGAGATCTAAGTGACAATGACAAACCTGAAGTCTCCAGACCTCAGTCAGGGCCCCAGGAGATGTGGGGAGGGCCACAAGGCTAGGAGTGCCTCATTTATAGCCTTCTGGTCCCAACACTTGAACTGGACTGGTTGAACACACGTTCATCATGATCACGTCTGCAAAGTCTCTCTAGCCAGGGAAGGTAACATATGCACAGGTTCTGGGGATTAGGATAGGGCTATCTCTGCAGGGGTGGGTGGGTATTAATCTGCCTACTACACTGTCTGTCTCCATCCATCCCCCAGATGTGAATGACTATATATAGGATGTGTGTAGCCATTTATGTATCCATCTACCCACTCACATATGTATGTATGCTTGCATATCTATATCTACCTATCTATCAATATCTATCCATCCATCTACCTACCTTCCTAGTCTATCTATTGATATCTATCTGTCCATCCATTCATCCATCCATCTACTTTGTTTATCCATTTATCTCTCTATCCATCCAGCCACCTATCTATGCTGTCTATCTATCAACTTGTGTGTTCTCTCCTTGAGAAAGAAGCCCATCTTTAAATTCATGCTCCCATTTTTACTCCGCTTGTCTTTAACATTCTACAGGAATGAAATACTGTAGCAGAGATTCCCCTATGGGTCTCAGCTCACAGAGTATTGTGAAATTCGTGTATCAGCATATTCTCTCTCTCTCTCTCTCTCTTTGCTGTGCTGCATGGTTTGCGGGATCTTAGTTCCCCGACCAGAGACTGAACCTGGGCCTTCGGCAGTGAGAGAGTGGAGTCCTAACCACTGGACTGCCAAGGAATTCCCATCTTTCCCCCCTTTTTTTGAAAAAAATAAAAATAAAAAAATATAAAAAAGTATAGAAAATCTATAACAGATTCATGGGTGATGATCCAGAATTAACAGATACTAACATTTTATCATATTTGCTTCTGAGCCTTAAAAAATAAAACAAATAAAATATTACTTTATGTAGTATTTAAATATTATATAAAATAAAATAAATAGAACAAAAAGATAATTATGTGGCTTTGAATGTTTGGCGCTATTTCCATCCATGTGTTCATACCTTATAATCAGTGTATCCACTAATATATAAATTGTTTAGTGTCTTTAAAACATATATGTATATGTGTATATTTATATATATATATATCACATTGAATTTATCATGTTGCAGTTTGATGTTTAAACTTCATATTGTGTTTTTGAAGATATAGCCATGTTGATACATACAGATAAAACTCATTCATCTTAATTGCTATAGAGCATTCTATCCCATGAGAATAACACATTGCATTTTCCATTCCCCTATTTATGGACATTTAAATTGTTTTCAGTTTTTTGTGTATGTGTTGATTTTGCAATGAACATGCTTATGCTTGCCTCCTTAAACACAATGTGAGAGTCTTTTTAAGAAATATACCTTAGAATGGAATTACTGAATTATAAGATAATCACATTTTCAACTTGACAATGTGAAAGTTTGCCTGCTCCCATATTCTTACTAATGTTTGTCAGGAGCAGACTTTTAATGTTTTGCCCACCCAAAATGTGTAGGATCGTGTATATATCCTAAATTTGCATATATCCTTTGCCTGTAATACATAACTACAGGTACTTTCCAAGTCTGTTATCTGATGTTTAAGCCCATGCATTTCTATTTACCCATGAAATTGCAAACATTCTGCCTCTTCATTGCCTTTGGCATGTCAAATCTTCCTTCTGGGATTGTTTTCTTCTGTCTGAAGCATATTCCTGGGAACTTCCTTTAGAGAAGAAAAATCTCACTTTTTATGAGTCTGAAAATGCATTTATTTCATCCTTGTGGTTGAAAAATATTTTTGCTGTGTCTCCAGTCTTAGGTTGACTGTTATTTCCTCCTAATCCATCAGAGCTCCTACTGCATCATCATTTAGTTTCCGTTTTATGGCCAGAAGTCAGAGATTCATCTACTCCTCTATTTTTCGAAGGTCTCTTTTCTCTGGCTACTTTTAAAGATCTTCTTTAACCTTTGGTGTTTCATACTTTGATGTCTCCAGATACACGTCACTTTAAATTATTCCATTAGGAATCCCTTGAGCTTCTAGCATTTGTTTCCTTGTTTGACATTGTGTGTATGCAGGCTCAATTGTGTCCAACTCTTCTGTCCAGGGGCTTTCCCAGGCAAGAATACTGGAGTGGGTTGCTATGCCCTCCTTCAGGGGATCTTCCTGACCCAGAGACTGAACCTGTCTCTCTTGTGTCTCCTGCACTGACAGGCAGATTATTTATCAGCTGAGCCACCAGGGAAGCCAGTAAGCTGAGGTTTTGGGAACTTTGTGGTGGGTTTCTCCAGAAATTTCTTTTGCCTCTGCTAGGTACCTGGGAGCACCCACTGACCACTACTTTAAAGAAAATTCTTGCTTGTAGTTTTTTCCATGTCCCAGGGTAGTGTGAATTCAGGTTGCAACCCCATGAGAAGATAGACTCAG